CCCTCTCCCCAAAAGGGGGGGGCCCATAAACTTTTTTCACCCCCCCCGGGGTTTTTTGTGGGGGGGGTAACTTTAAAATGCGCGGCCCTACCCCGGGCGGGGGGCCCGTGGGGGGGGGCGGGTGGGTTTTTTTTTCCCCCACCCCAAAAAAAGAAAATCTTTACCCCAACTTTTTTTTGGTTTTTTGCCCCCCTTTGGGGGAACTTTTTTTTTCCGGGGGGCCCTTTTTTTTTTTGAAACCAACTCTTTTTTTTTTTAAGCCTAAAGGGGGGAAAACTTAATTTTTTTTGTTTCCCCCGTTTGGGTTTTTTTTTTTGAAAACCCCCCCCCTTGGGGTTTTATATGCCCTTTTGGGGGGGGGGGGGCCCAAAAAAAACTTTTCAAAAAAATAAACTTGGCCCCCCCGGGGTGGGAACAACCCTCTCACAGTGTGTGTGTGTGAGTTTCTGTGTGTTTCTCCCCCCCCCCCCCCCCCTTTTAAAATGTTGATAAGATCGCTACATTGGTGCTTCAAGAGCATTAGCAACCTGAAGTGAATTTTATTTGAATCATGGTGTCAATAGAAAGAGAGGAGGAGGTGGAGTCAGAGGACGGGGATGATGATGATGATGACGATGACGATGATGACATGCCACCGCTGCTATTGCTACCAATGATAAAGCAGATGAAGAAGTCGACAAAGAACCCTACTGTCCTGATTAAGTATTTTCAACGATCCTTGGTGTATCCTCTACAGGCACTCAGTGACCAAGGCAACTTTGCAGACGCTGAGAAATTCTTCAAGAAGGCACAGGAAGTCCAGCCACGCAATGCCAACAATGTTGTTCACAGGGGGTGAGTTTTAGACTGCTTTGGGTTATGGGAGGGAGAGGGGTAGGGGGGGGGGGCATCTTAGTTAGTCTGACAGTGTTGGGTGGTTGGAGGTTGCCACTCGTAGATCCTACTTTGTTTCTTTCCTCTCTGTGTGTTTCTGTCTATCTGTGTGACCATTTTTTTTTCTCTTGCTCTTAATGGCAGTTATTGTGTGGATTTGAGTCTTCTCATCAGCCAAGCAAACGTCTCTTGAACAATGAGCTCTGTGGGTGGTTGGCGGGTGCTCAGGTGTGGTATGCTCCTTCTTTCTTGTCAAACATGTATCGTCCTGTTCTCTTCAGTTATTGTGTTGTCACTCTTTTGTAACACCGTTGCGGGTGGTTGGAGGGTGCCACTGGTAGGTCCTACAGTTTTACGCTACATCTGTTGTTTCTGTCTGTCTGGCTTACTTTTTTCCCTGCCCTAAATGACCATTACTGAGTCGATGTGCTTCTGGTTTCTCAAACAAGCAAACTAACAAGTAACACCTCCAATTGTCAGCATTAATATGACCTTGTTGTGATGCAAGTGACTTAAAACTCTTACCAAACATAAAACAAACAAAAAGTGAGTGGTTGGCGGGTGCTCTGGTGTGGTTTGCTCCTTCTTTCCTATCAAACATCTATCGTCCTTGTCTCCCCTTCTTCTTTTTTATATTTGTTACTCTCTTGTAACACCTCTAATCTTCTGGCACTCATATGACCTTATGCAGTTGCGAGGGCCGTAAAACCTCTACTATAACTAAACTAAAACTCTTACCAAACATAAAACAAACAATTGTACAACATGTTCATTGATCGACACCCCCCCCCTCCACCTTGTATGTCCAGTCTGATGACCCTCCAGTGGAAGGGGGACGTTGACCAGACCCTCAAGCTGCTGGAAGAGGCCTTGAGAATTGACCCTACCTGCCAGTACGCCTTTGAGATCCGGGGGACCATCGAGGTGCAGAGGTGAGTGAGCGGCCTTGTCCAACGCCCGCATCATGTTGGGTCTTTTCCTCCGTAACTACTCGAATGAAAAGCGCAAAAATTTTTGTTGTTGTGTTTATCGTTGTCAGAGATTTCAGTTCGTATTTATTTAAAGATTAATTTATCTCATGTGTATCGATGTATTTTAGTTGTCTAATGTAGAGATTTCAGACCCCGCGGGGCAGTGCCACTGACTGTAGTGTCTTTAGGCCATTCCCAAAGGGGGGGACATTTCTCGTTCAAGTGCAGTAAAAAATGGGTTGATTCATGTCACGCTCATAACTGTGCCTGATCTACAACAGGGAACTGCTGCTT